GGAATCCTGCCGGCTGCTCTCTCAGTTCTCTCCCCAAAGCCTCCTTCCCAGTCTCTCCTCAGGCATCTCTAGTCCACAGGCATGTCTAGTCTAGGACACAGGGGTAAGTGGCTGCAAATAAAAATCTATGCGTTGGCCCTTTAAAAGTCTCTTTGTGTCTCCAGTTGCCCATCTCTGGCAGAGAGCAACCCTGCTGCTTTGCGCAGCTGGCTGTTCTCTGTGTAATTTTTGGGCTCTGGTGCTGTAGGCTGGAGATCCCCGCTTATGGTTTAGACCCCGCTCTTCACAGGGGGATCCAACTGGCCATTTCAATATCCTTCTGGTGCTGCCGCCCAAAGGTGCCCCGCCCACCTTCTCGAGTATCTTCCACACTCCTTAGCAGTTTGGTTGTGCTAAAGCTGATTCTTCTGTCTGTCCAAAGTTATAAGGCTCCTCTCTCGCTATTGTTCAGTTGTTTGTTCCAGGTGATTTCTCCACAATTTAGTTGTAATTCCAGGTTGGTCCTGGGAGGCGGTCAGTGTGACTTCCATTCACTCCCCCGCCATCTTGATTTTCCTATGCGATGTATTACGTTTATTGATTTGCGGATATTGTACCATCCTTGTATTCCTGGGATGAATCGCACTTGACCATGCTGTATGATCGTTTGAATGTATCACTGGATCTGGTTTGCCAATATTTTGTTGAGGATTTTAGCATCTGTGTTCATCAGGAGTATTGGCCTTTAGTTTTCTTTCTTTATTGTGTCTTTATCTGGTTTTGGATTTAGTATAATACTCGCCTCAAAAAGAGAATTTGGGAGTCTTTGCTGTTCTTTAATTTTTTGGAATAGTTTGAGAAGGATAGGAGTTAGCTCTTCCCTTGATGTTTTGTAAAATTCTCCTGTGAAGCCATCCAGTGCAGGGCTTTTGTGTGCTGGGAGTTGTTTGAGTATTTCTTCAACTTCAGTAGCTGTCATCAGTCTATTCAGGCTTTCTGCTTCTTCTTGATTCAGTTTTGGAAGATTACATGTTTCTAGAAATTTGTCCATCTCACCCAGGTTGTCAAACTTCTTGCCATATAGTTGTTTGTAGTAATTTCTGACAATCCTTTGTACTTCTTTGGCACGGTTGCCATTTCTCCTCTTTCGTTTCTGATTTTATTTATTTGTGTCCTCTCTCTTTTTTCTTCTTGATAGTCTGCTTAAAGGCTTGTCAGTTTTGTTTATCTTTTCAAAAAATTAGCTCCTGGTTTTATTGATCCTTTGCATTGTTCTTTTAGTCTCTATGCCATTTAATTCTGCTCCGATCTTGATTGTTTCCTTCCTTCTACTCTCTCCGGGCTTTGTTTGTTGTTGTTCCTCTCGTTCTTGTAGATGTAGGGTTAGGTTGTTTATTTGAAATGTTTCTTTTTAGGTAGGTCTGTATCGTTATGAACTTCTCTCTCAGGACTGCCTTCACTGTGTCCCATAGGTTTTGGTCTGTTGTGTGAGCATCATTAATTTTTTATGTAAGCTTCACGTTTGTCCTTTTTTCCTCTTGGCTTTCCTTGGGGAAATATTGGAGTTTCTCCAGATTAATTGTCTTTTGCTAAAGTGAATTAAGTACCTTTAGTTCCGCTCTATGTCTGCTTGTGCCTTAGTGTACTCTCTTTTTGATATCTACATTAATATCATACTCTAGCTTGAATAGGATTCTGCTTGATATGGCTGCTTTCTCCTCTTCTCTCCGCCAGATTCTCTGGCATTACCAGATTAGCCAGCTACGTGGTGGCAGGTTGATTATACTGGACCACTTCTTTTCGGGAAGGTGCAGTGTTTTATCCTCCCTGGCATAGACACTAACTCCGAATATGTATATCTCTTCCCTACACACAATGCTTCTGTCCAAACTACCATCCATGGACTTACAAAATGCCTTATCCACCGTCATTGTATTCCACCAGCACCGCTTCTTATGAAGGAACTCCCTTCACAGCAAATGAAGTGCAACAATGGGCCCGCATTCATAGAATTTACTGGTCTTTCCATACTCCCCACCACCCTGAAGCAACTGGCTTGCTAGATCAGTGGAATGGCCGTATGAAGATTCATTTACAGGGCCCGCTAGTTGGCAATACCTTGCAAGGCTAGAGCAAGTTTCTCCACAAGAACATTTTTCCAACAGCCAGGATTCATGGGTCCAGGAATCAAGGGGTAAAAATGGGATTAGCACCACTCACTGTTACTTTTAGTGACCCAGAAGCAAAATTTTTGTTCCCTGTCCCTGAAGCCTTATGCTCAGCTGGCTTAAAAATAGTTCCAGAGGGATAAATATTTCAATTAGTAGACACAGCAATGACTCCATTGAACTGGAAGTTAAGACTTCCACTTGGCTACTTTGAGCTTCTCATGCCTGTGAATCACAGGCAGAAAAGTTACTGCCCGGGCTGGTGTGGCTCAATGGATTGAGTGCTGGCCTGTGACCCAAGGGGTCACGGGTTTGATTCCCAGCTAGGACACATACCTGGGTTGCGGGCCAGGTCCCCAGTAGTGGGGCTCATGAGAGGCAACCACACATTGTTTCTCTCCCTCTCTTTCTCCCTCCCTTCCTCTCTCTCTAAAAATAAAAGAAAAGGGAGTTACTGTGGTGGCTGGGGCGATTAGTCCTGACTGCCAAGGGGAAGTCGGACTACTCTTCCACAGTAATTAATGGAGGTAAGGACTGCCATGTCTGGAGTGTAGAAGATCCCTTAGGGTATCTCTTAGTATTACTTACCATGCCCTGTGGTTAAAACCAATGGAAAACTACAATAACCAAATCGGGGCAGGAGTATTATACTAATGTTCCATACTCTTGAGGAATGCTGTTTGGGTTACCCCACCAGGTAAAGAACCACAGTTGAGGTACTGGCTGAGATCAAATGTAATATAGAACAGATAGTGAAAGAGGGTAATTATCAATATCAGCTATGACCATGTGACCAGTTACAGAAATGTAATTGTCATGACTATTCCTTCTTTATTTTGTTATCATTTGTGAATGCGTTTGTGCGTATAAAAATCTGTTTTCTTCCCTTTCTTATCCTGCTAGCACATAAGATGTATTGACTTTATATCATAGTATTTAAGTATTGTTAACTTTACGTCATAGTATTTAAGTTTCTGGATGTCAAGGAGAAGAGTAAACATTACCCAAGGAGTTTAAATTTTCAACTTGGTAAAGGGCTATTGCATTTTTGGTTGTACACAGGGTAATTGTATCATGTTAGGCCAAAGTAGGACCTCATTATTTTCTTTTTTAGGAATTTTAGTATGTTTTAGGGAGCTGTATCTGGGTGCTAAGTTGATAAAGGGTATACCTGTGATGATCACTTTCATGTGTGAACTTGGCCACAGTACCCAGATACTCGGTGAAACATTTTTCTAGATGTTTCTGAGGGTATATTTTAGTTGAGATTAAAATTTAAATCAGTGGACTTTGAGTAAAGCAGATGACCCTCTAAACATCTGTGGGCCTCATCAAATCCATTAAAAGCCTTAATAGAAAAAGAATGGACAACTGTGTGGGGACTGACTGTGGGAGGGGGCGGTAGGCTGGGTGGAGGAGGGCATATGGGGAAAAATTGGGACAACTGGAATGGAATGAACAAGAATGAAAAAGAAAAAAAGAAAAAAAGAAAAAAAAAGAATGACCTCCTTGGAAGAAGAGGAAATTTGGCCTGCAGATGCCTCTGGACTCCAACTGCACCTCTTTTCTGGGTCTCTAACCTACCCTGCCGATGTTGGACTTTCCAAGCTTCCAATCACATGAGATTGGAAAGACAGACAGATACAGATATATACATATATAGTGTGTATATACGGGGAGAGTTTCTGTTTGTTTTGTATGTCTGGAGAACTCTGATTGATACTGCTCATATACCCAGTACCAGGGTCTCTGGTAATTCCTGCCCCGCCCTGCCCACCTCCTCAATGCAAGGAGTTTGGACGAGATCCCTAAAGGGGATATTTCTTAAGCCCAAATCAAATACTATCACCAGTCACATTACATTATTCCTCAGCATTCCTGTCATGAGACAGTAAGGCAGCAGGCCAGGCGTACACCCCAGGGTGAGAGGAGTGTACCAAAAAAAGCAAAAGCACAAAGGAGCATGCACCCTTACCACTTTTTCAGTAAACTGGGCTAGGCTTTTAGGGCTCCAAAGGACCCTTCCTGGCAGCCAAGTGTGAGCGCAGGTATGATGGCTTAATCTGTATCAAATAGGAGTGTCCTGTACTTTCTTACCTATTGCTTCCACACTGTTGAAATAGAAGTAGAAAAGAATACCCCAAAAGTCCCTCCCATTTTGAGGCAAACTCATAGTGACAACTGTCCCCATGCCCCCGAAAAATGCAAAATAAAGGTCTATCCCCAAACTGTGTCCTTAAATCTCATCCCAAAAGATTGGTACTGTATACAACTTCAGCCCAAAGGGTGCATTTCCCCAAAGCTGATTGATTGAGAATCAGATTATACTCTGAGGAGTTATTGTTATCACTGTCAAAACTGTAAAGAAAATAAAATTGAATTTAAAAAACGGCTTAATCAGTTTGCATGTAGCATCTGGACCAAAAAAGCCTTGAAAATTTAGTATTTTTAAATAGGAGGCCATTGTGTATGATCATATGCACGATCACACAACACCAAAGAACCGTACTGATTTTACATTGTTAAGTAAGAGTTACAGAAAGATTCCTACTACAAATAAAAGATTACGGGTACCTCTCAGAATAGAACCAGATATGTGAATTCCAATGCATACCTGGCACATTTGCATTGCAGGGACCCCCATTTCCCTCCAAACACACTCCCAACCCGACATTGCACCAGGCACATTTGCTTTGCAGCTATCTAAGTAAATGATCTCTGTGGACTCATTGTCCGGGATATTGTATACTAGGTACACTGTCAATTTCAAATGAATGAATACATCTTGGAACTGAAAAAGAATGATTTGTTTCTGCTTTCTGCATCCTGACAAGTATCTAAGTGATTCCCATGTTATAGCTGAAGTAAATATAAACTACAAATCATGATTATTGGAATGGTTTTATCATGGATTTAGGGCTGTAACAACAATGTACGGAATCCCATGAATACGTACGGGGTGGATAAAACAAAGGAGAAATTGGGTCATCACATAGATATAGAAATACTCCAAGAAATTAACCACGATTAAAACAACAACAACAACAACATAGCTTAAGCATTCAGACAGAAGTACAAAACAGAACCCTGACAATGAAATGAAGATTGTGGGGCGGGGCGCGGTGGTGGCGCATGGCAAGGCAACTTGGGTGGAAGAGGAAAGGGATAAAAGGATTCTCATTTTTATGTTGCAGTTTCGGGGAAGAGAGCCAATTGCTCTGCTCCAATCCTAGTATAGTTTCTTCTCCCACTATTACGGAAATAAGCCTCGGGTAATTTTCAGTCAACTAAATTCCTGTGGTGGGAAGAGGAAAAAGCTAAACAAAGGTAGAATCACTGGGATCAATGTCTTTTTTTTTTCCCCTCCAAAGGCAAAGGTGGATGTGTGAAGCTGGTAACAGGCAAAGACACTTGGTTAAGAACCCCTGTCCTGAGGGGGGAGATGGTTTCTTGCAGAACGAGATGCAGGAGGTGGTTCTGCTCGGCACTCAACAGTGGCCACATCTCCACCTGCAGCGATTTGATGGCTTCCGTGTCCTTCTCGTGGGTAGCCGTGACCAAGGACTGGAGCAGCAGAAAGAGCTCCTCTGGAAGCTGGCCACTGGCCTCCTGCCCGTGGCTGTCGAAAGCCTCCCAGAAGTACACGTCCAAGGTGTGGGCATGCTCCGGGAGGAGTTTGGCGGGTGGTGGCCGCAAGAGCAGCAGCAGCAACACACGGGACACCTGGCAGCAGACCACCATCTCCCAGAAGGCGCCTAGCAAGGCACCTGAGGGCGTGGCCACAAAGCAGGCAGTCGGAGGGCACAGTGTGGCGGGCTGGACCCTGGCCGCGCCGCGGCGGAGCTGGGGCCCAGGCAGCTGCACCTGGAGCCTGCAGCAGGAATGGCGGTGGCGGCTGAAACGGTTGGCTGCCGTGTTTCTGCGCCAGGCGCTGCAGGCGTGTGAAGACCTCCGAGGCGCCATTTTAGTCACGCGCCAACAGCTGGCAGGAGGCGGCATCGCCAAGCGCCTGAGGCGCGGCCAGGGGCAGGTGGAGCGGCTGTAGCTGGGTGGCGCGCTGGAAGGGGACGGCAGCGGCAGCCGGCTGACCCAAGTCGCACAGGGCGGCCGCCAGCTCCAGGCAGAGGGTGGCGGCAGCCGGCTGGCCCAACTCAAGGTGCAGGCGCACCGCGGCACCCAGGGCGCTGGCAGCTGCCTGCAGCGGCTCCCCGTAGGCGGCGGAGCAGACGAGGCGCTGGCGCGCGTCGCGCTCCTGCCGCAGGAAGAGGCGGGCGGCCTCGGTGAGCGCCAGAGCTTCCCCGGGCCCGTGGAAGAGCGCCTGATGGCAGCGCGCATCCGCCAGCTGGCACCAAGCCGCATAAGGCAGGCACTGCTGAGCGCGCAGCTTGTGGCCCAGCTGTCTGAATAGCTCGGCAGTCTCTGCCACGTTCGGCTTCCGCAGGAACCGCTTCTTCAGCTTGTTCAACACCTGGCGATACCGGGCGATACCTGGCCAAGTAGTGCCCGGCATCAGGCCCCGGGGCCGAAAAGCCACCCAGGCTAGCAGCGGATGCGGCCATGTTCCCAGCTCGAGTGCTTCCGCTGGGTGGACTTTGCGGGTGCAGGATGCTAACTGCGACGTGACCTGCGTCCTGCTTGGGTCGGCTGCCCGTGAGCGCTTGCGCAGGAACCCGCAATGGAGCCCCGCGCCCCCTCCTGGCCGTGTGTTAAGTAAATCTCAGGTTCCTGGGGCCAGGCCTTGCCTGCTGCAAAGTGCACAAACAAATCACGGGTCCTGGGGCAGGGTCTAGCCAAGCGCCCTCTGTTGCAAGGTGACAGCTTGTTACCCCGGTTGCTATGGTATCTCCCAGCATGCCTCAGACAACAGGATCGAAACTAAACTCGTGATCCCGCGGGACCATCATTCCGATTTCGCAACTTTCTTGATTGCCCCCACCCCGACTCCTCAGTCTTCCTGTCAAAGCCCTTTGTTCACTCCTCCATCCCGCACCCGGGTTGGCATGGCACATTCACCCTTAGTCATGGCCTTGCACTCCACTCCAATGGACACCATCCTCCGGGGAACTTTGATGGGCTCTGACTTGCTCAGAGGCAATGGGAGAGTCTCCCATACCCCATCCCCACACCCACCTTAGCCAGCCTCTCCCACCCGGGGCCATGCCAGGAGAGGCTGCTCCTCTCATCATCCCCGACTCCACCCTCACACCCTGGCAGACCCCACCCCCGCCCCTCCCCCACCCCTCCAATGAGTTTGTCCCACAACCACCATGCAGACAAAGTGACTGAAGCAGGCACGTGGGTTTCTTAAAAGTTTAAACAGTTTATTTTCAACGACATTGCCCAAGGCACCAGACAGGCCCCGGCTGCTTGGGCTGTGAGCAGGCCTGGCGCCCTAGGCTTGAGGCCCGGGGAACCCTCGTCCTGATGGGCAGCTACTCCCAGTCCGGGGCCACCAGGGAAATGGTGGTGCTCCCAAAGAAGCCACTGAGCAGTGCGTTGTTGTGGATGGCCATGTCCACGAGCTGTGGGGTGATGCGCCGGCAGCCGTTTCTCTGGGCCTCGTTGCCCGCCAGCTCCAGGACCGTGGCGATCAGATATTGCAGGACGGCTGCGAGGAACACAGGCGCGGAAGAGCTTAGACGCAGGGCATAGTGGCGTTCCCGCAGGAGGCGCTCCAAGTGGCTCACGGAGAAAAGCAGCTCAGCTCTGGCGTCGGGGGTGCGGTTCCGCCTCTGGTGACCGTGACCGTGACCGGACGACCGTCTACGGTTCCTTCGACCAGGCATGCTGGGCGCTGGGCCTAGCTCTGCAGTGCGCTGTGGAGTGCTGCGGTGCGGTGCGGTGCGGTGCGGTGCGGTGCGGTGCGGTGCGGTGCGGTGCGGTGAGATGCGGTGAGATCTGCCAGTTGGTCCCAACCTCTCTAGACAGCCATTCCGCAGGCCCCTACTCCGTATCCTAGCAACCACGGAGCGGCCGCTCGTTGGCAGGGCACGCGCTGTGCGACACATAAGTTCCACGAGGTCACTGCTTTCCCATTGGCCCCGGCGGGCCTGGGCGTGGGCCTGCAAAGAAATGGCGCTGGCAGCACCCTGCCCACGCGGCGCACTGGACCCTCACCTTGAGGGAGCTCTCTCTTTCCACTGGACAGGAGCGTTGTACAGAAAAAGCAACAAAGGTGCATGATCCGGTGGCACCAGGTATACACTTGTGGTGTTGGGCGGCCATCACAACTGTCTACTTCCAAAACGTTGGAACCACGCCAAAAAGAGCCCCCTGTACCCATCAGGCAGTCATTCCCCACTGCCCCGCTCCGCTTCCCCTGGCCAACAACCTCTCCTCTCCCCGAGAACCCAGGCAAACAGGTACCTGCTTCCCGTTCACAGAGGTTTGCCTGTTTTGGAGAGATGCAACCATACAATAAATAGGTGGCATTTTGTGTCTGGCTGCTTTCACTTAGCATAATATTCTCATTATGGTTCACTCACATGATAGCATGCATCAACACTTGAATTATGCTAAGTCCATTGTATGGGTGGACTACATGTTGTGCATCCATTCGTCAGTTGATGAACATTTGGGTAATTTTCCCCTTCTGGCTGTTGTGACTAGCGCTGCGGTAAACATTCCTGTACAGGGTTCTGTTTTCAGTTCTTCTGGGTATGGGAGTGGACTTGCCAGGCCACATGGTAATTCTATGTTTAACTTGCTGAGGAACCACTCAACTGACTTCCACAATAGCCGTACCATTTTGCACTCCCAACAAGAGTGTGTGAAGGTCCCAGTTTCCCCACATTCTCACCAAAACTTGTTACTTTCCTTTTGTTTTGCTTACAATAGCCATCCTAGTGGGTGGAAAGTGGTATCTCATGGCTTTTGTTTGCATTTCCCTAATGGCTAATAACGTTGGGCATCTTTTCATGTGTCTCTCGGCCATTTGGACATCTGCTTTGGAGGTAGCAGATGTACTTTCAAGTCCTTTGCTCATTCCTAAAACTGGGTTGCTTGTCTTTCTGTTGTGAGAGTTCTTTATGCATGCTGGAAAATAGGCCATTATGAGACATATGATTTGCAAATGTTTCTCCCATCCTATAGATTGTCCTTTCACTTTCTAGGTAGACCTTTTGATGCAGAAGTTTTTAATGTGGCCCTGGCTGGCGTGGCTCAGTGGACTGAGTGCCGGCCTACAAACCAAACAGCTGCCTGTTCAATTCCCAGTCTAGGGCACATGCCTGGGTTGCGGGCCAGGTCCCCGGTAGGGGGCGCGCGAGAGGCAACCACACATTAATGTTTCTCTCCCTCTCCTTCTCCCTCCATTCCCCTTTCTCTAAAAACAAATCAATAAAATCTTCAAAAAAAGAAAAAGAGGAGCTTAAAAAAAAAGTTTTTACCTTGCATGGCATACAATTTATCTTTTTTTTCTTTGTCTTGTGTGGCCGTGCTTTTGCTCTCATAATTTGTAACTGCTGCCCAATCCAAGGTCATGGGGATTTGCACCTATGTTTTATTCCAAGAGTTTTATAGTCCCCGTCTTTACATTTAGGTCTGTGATCCATCAGAGTTAATATCTGTGCATGGTGTGAGATTGGGGTCCATAGTCATCCTTATGTCTGTGGATATCCAGTTGCCCCAGGACTCTTTGTTGAAGAGATTTTTCATTCATCCGTTGAATAGCATTGGCACCCTTATTGAAAATCAACTATTTATTGATATATGGGATTATGTCTGACTCCAAATTCTAAAACATTGACCTATAATCATTATGCCAGTGCCACACTTTTTAGGATTGCTGTAGCTTTGCAGTAAGCATTGAAATTGGGAAGTGAGAGTCTTCCAACTTTGTTCTTCATTTTTGAGATTGTTTTGGCTGTCTGCATCCCTTGCATTTCCATGTGAATGTTGGGATCTCCTTGTCGATTTTGACAAAGAATCCAGGTTAGATTGTAACAGGCATGGCATTGAATCTGTATATTGCCTTGGGGATTATGGTCACCTTAACGATATTAAATGCTCAATCTACTAACACAGGATGACCTTCCATTTATTTCAGTCCTCTTTAGTTTCCTTCAGCTGTGTTTTTCAGTTTTCAGAGTACAAGCCTTACACGTCTTTTGTTAAGTTTATTCCTCAGTATTTTATTCTTTTTGATGACACTGTAAAAGGAATTATTTTCTTAACCTCAGTTTTTGGACTGTTCCATGCTAGCATATAGAAATACAACCGATGATTGCACGTTTGGGATCCTGCAACTTTGCTGAGCTCTTATTGCATATTTGAATAGGTTGCTGTGTTTCTGGTGTATTCTTTAGTGTTGTATATGTGTGTACACACACACACACACACACACACACACACACACACACACAAACATGTCATCTGTGAACAGAGATAGTTTTACTTGTTCCTTTCCAATTGGGGTGCCTTTTATTTATTTCCCCTGCCTATTTGGTCTGACTAGAACTTTGAGTACAATGTTGCATAGAAGTGTTAAGAACAAACATTCTTTTCTTCTTCCTGATGCTAAGGGGAAAGCACTGAGTCTTTTTTTTTTTAAAGCTTTTATTTATTTATTTTTAGAGAGGGGAGGAGGGGGAGAAAGAGAGGGAGAGAAACATCAATGTGCAGTTGCCTCTTGAGTTCCCCCTGCTGGGGACCTGGCCTGCAACCAAGGCATGTGCCCTGACTGGGAATTGAACCGGCGACCTTTTGGTTCACAGGCTGGCACTCAATCCACTGAGCCACACCGGCCAGGGCTGCCCCAGTCTTTCACCCTTATGAATGATGCTATCTGTGGGTTTTTCATAGGTGCTCTTTATCATGTTGAGGAAGTTCCCTTCTATTCCTATTTTGTTGAGTTAATTTTCACGAGAGGGTGTTGGATTTTGTCAAATGCTTCCCTTCCCTCAATATCTATGAGTTGATCATGAGGTCTCCCATCCCCCTGCGTTCTATTAGTATGGTGTATTACATTGATTGATTTTCATATGTTACATTCACGGTCATTGTGTATAGTGAATGGTCCATAAACCTTCTGTTGAAAGCGTAGGTGTGGATCAGGAACACTGCTTGAGGGTAAGTGTGTGTGTGCATGTGCGTGTGCGTGTGTGTGTGCGAAGGGATCTGTAGCCTGATGAAAGGCCAAAGCATTTGGGGGAACCTGCAGGATGGTAGGCTGCCCATGGGAAAGTGGTGGTTGAAGTGGCTGGAGGAGAGGCTGGCAGGAGCCAAGACTCAGAGGTTCTGGTAAGCTCTGCTCAGGTTTTGGAATACCTTGTAGGCTATTGTGAGCCCACTGTGGTCATTAAGCTCTGGAGTGGCATGGCCTGATTTGTTTCTGTTAAGATCATTCCGGCAGCCGTGTGGAGATAGAATAGAGAGGATTGAAATTGGAGTTAGAAAGTTGCTGCAGCATCTCAGTCAAGAAATGTGTGTGTGTTGAACTTCTTGAGAAACCATCAAACTCTTAGCCCGCTCCTAGGGTTTTGGCTTATTTCCCCAACTTAGCACAATACACTGGAAAATGTAAATGATTGGTAGCCTTCCTACTGCTGGTGAAATCTAACAGTTGCAATTTGGGGTTTCTGCTCACAAAGGTATTTACTTGATTTTTTCCTACATATCCCACTAGCCCATTTTTTTCAAGTTAGAGGATATTAAGTCTCATTTGTGAAATTTAACTTATTCTCATTCCCCCCCCCCAGTATTGCTTCTGGGGCATGGGGGCAGAATACAAAGTATAGTAAACAAAGCATTCCCTTACAAGAATCTTTTTTTTAATTCATTTGAGGACACTTTCCTTCTTTTCTCCCTCCAATCCTTCCTCCGTCGCTCCCTTACTCCCTCCCTTTTCTTTTCCT